GTACACAGAAGTATATAAATATTTGCCATTGTTCACTTCGGTCTAAATGTGTTCAAATATGCTGACTTTGGAAAAAAAGAGATTCCTTTAATGCAAAGACTTCCAGACCTCCTCAGAAAGATTCAATCTTTAAAGGACCTGGTATGTTAACAATGGGAGGTAAACAAATTGATTATATTTACCCCGATTATATCGAATTCCTGACATTCCCCAGAATTAAATTTCATAATCTGTATGGATATAAAGTTGGGAATTAAAATTAAGATTTTAATCAATTAAGGAATGTAAATGAAGTTTAAAATTTCGTAAGATTTAATTCTTCCGTTAATCTGCCTTTAATGTGGTCGAGTTAGCATAACCCGATAGGGACCACACTGATCACTTAGTGAACACAACTAGGCGTAGCTGCTGAGAAATTAAATAGAAAACCATACCACGTGTGACGTGTATATGAATGTGGACGGAAAGGTGGGGAGGGGGTCACAAACGATACAAATGTAGGAATAAGAAACAGACCCTATCCCAGATGTGCATGGGATCAGGTGCCTAGGTCAACACAATCCCTTGTTAGTCGGTCACACGCACCTTGCCCGAGGTATCGATCCGATCCGATCATGGTCGGAACCCACGGGTTTTCTCTCCATTACAGAACACTGCATTCAAGTGTTACATATAGAGAAAATCCATGGGTTCCAACGAATTGGTCAGAATAAGGAACACGTCATATTTAGTATTTAGTGTAAAACAAAGGCCAAATAACTAACATGAAAAAATAAGAGACAAATTTAACGTGGTGTGCGACGGGTGCCCCTTTCATGTCCACCACTTAGGATTTAAACTTTTAAAGTTAATGATATTTAGAATTTGAAAAAAAAAAAAACCTATGCATCCAATATTAAGACATCTACAATATTTCAAAGGGATATCAATTTCATCCTCAGAGGCACCTAAACTCGTTCGAAATCATTTCAACTGATTTTATACGTACCTGAAACAAGATAGAGGGAGACGGTCAGACAGCCGGAGAGGATCGACCTCACCGAGTCCTCCCGGGGGTTATAGATGATCAGGAAAACGGTGGCCAACACACACAGGGCAACCCCGAACAATGTCAGCAGTCCGTACTCCAGGCGCACGCCTGTACAAAGGAATTTACACTCAATGATTAGTGTCTTACTTCTTTGATCTGACAAATTGCAAATTAAAAAGGATTTTTTGTTAATTCGACAAATTCATAACATCGAAAATGTATGCAGCCATGACAATTAATGCCTGAAAATTCTACAAGAGAACTTCTCAAAATTCTAGCCAAGAAGAAAACCCACCCAAAAGCTACATCAAATGGGTGAAAAGAAAAAAAATTCATTTAACCTCAAACTATACTCAGTAACCGCAACGCAAATATATTTTAAGTCAGGAATTTTTCCTCTCCGTGGGAAAGCACAGTATAAAATATATACATGTCTTGTGTGTTGTGAACAATTTTAAAGGAATGAAAAGAGCTTTTAAAACTTCTTTAAAGCACATTTACAGGAAAATTTATATGTATCAATTTAAAAGCAATAAACGGTAAACTTTAAATTTAAATATTCACTTTAAAGAATCAGCATAGATTACAAGAAATATATAGTCCAAGGTTAGGTCTAAAAATATAATTAACCATAACCGGTAAAACAAAATATGTCTGGAACAAGTAAAAAGGAAAACATGCCAAAAAAGGAAATATAAGTGGTCATTTGTAATTCTAGACAATAAAATCATCCTCACAGGGGACAAACCATAGTCATGGCTCGGGGGACTCGAGTGTCCTCTCACTCTGTCAAACAAGACCACAGTAAAAATCCACTTCATCTTACACGACAGTCAAAACAATGAATCACCGGCGTCTTATGTAACAATCAGAAAAGATACTCACTACTTCAAAGTACAAGTACATGTACTTAAAAGTACCATTGAGACAATAAAAGTGAGAGAAAACAACACTTTAAAATAAAGAAACATGAAGGGGAGACACTCAGAACGGATAATTATAAAAATAACATCTATGAAATTATATCACTGTAAATCCTGAAACCTCCGATTTGGAAAATCCAAATAAATAATATGAGAGAGAGAGAGAGAGAGAGAGACTTACTTCCTATGGCCGAATCTGATGTGGTCAGTAGACTTTTACACAGGGATAGTCCCGAGGACACATCACAAGACAGCGAGTACCACAGTCCGTGTACCAGTCGTCTGTCCGTGGTCACTACCACCACCCACCAGGGGGTCACGGTCCCTGTCATCAGCCCCAGGGACGTGAAGACCCCGAGCACCACCAGAATCTTCCTCCGAATGTAACACAACACGGTCATTATTACCCAGCCTTCTGCATTCTTCTGTCTTGTTTATGTGCCAGTACTAAATATATAGCATATAAACTGTCAACAGACACTGAACGATGGCATTCCCTCGCACGTACAATACAGGTGTAATACAATGACGGCTTATTATGAGCCTTCAGGTAACGTGTCGTAAGTCCAGCGTTATAATCGCCAGCTAGTTGTCCTCAGAATGAATGAAATACACAACATGTGCTTTGAGAGTCCCGGTGAGGTAATATCCGGTCCCCAAACTCAGCGTTTAAGGGTATATTCGATTAAGCGACACGGGTTACACGAGTCACTAGAGTTGTAAATAAAACAACCTATCTTCGACACGGGTGATCAACCCGTGTTACGCGAGTATACTCCTCAGTTTATCTGGAGTAACAGGTAAAAGAAATGGCGGGAAGTGAAGTCGCATTGTTAATGCGAAAACTGTTTCAGCATAAATTTGTCAGTGTTTGTATTAGAAATTTACAACGTCAATGAAAAAGTCTGCATTATAATTTTGACATCCCTCTTTTTTTTTTTTTTTTCTTTCTAGTTTTTAGGTCAACCTCCTAAAATTACTGTTGTGTTATCATTGACAGTTTTTAATTTTTAAAAAAATAAAGAAGTTTTTCCATTCTTTTTTAAATATTCCTTTAATTGTTGCCCGAACCCCTGGAACCTGTTTTAACAAAAGAAATTACGACTAAAACTAAAATTTTATGTTGGTTATAATTTTTTTGAAAATAAACTGTTTAGCAAATAGTTACCAAAGTAACATTCTAAATTCTATTCAAGAAGAATAAAATCGCAGAATTAAATTTTGGTCCTAGGTGTAAGTTCTATTGTAAAACGAGCCCCTTAATTACATAAATGTGTCAAATAGATGCTTATTGATTCACTAATAAAAAATATTTTTATAGATTTAACATTGAATGGCAGCATAGATATGTCGTGTTAATTTCCTTATAAATAATTCAGTTTTAAGATAATTACAGGATCGAATGTGAGAGCAAAATAAATTTTACAGTTGCATGTACATGTATTACAATGTAATCTTATAAATATGGAGGTCGGGTCCCCAGAACCAACCGATTCTTTTTTTTTTTTACAATAAATGTTATAAGTATATAGAAATTACCTTTCAGCCTTTAATTACAATCGTAATAATTATTGAACAATTTCATTCGTATTTTTTCAAAAAAAAAAATTTTAGTTGAAATATTGAACATTATTTTTACAAACTCAAAATTAAATTCCACAGCCATGTAATACCATGAAATAAACACACTAGCTCATGTTTTCTTAATTCGAACCGGCGTCACATTTTTTTTTTTATAAAAGTATGTGTCTCTCACATCCTATGGCTAACACTATATTAATGAAAAATGTCAGATATGGTACTTTTCTGACCAATTATTATACCCCATGCAAAATGTTACGGGGGGAGAGAATAAAGGTACGTAGCAGCTGGTGGAAGCGCTCCCCACACTTTTTTTCCAAACATCTTTTTACTTTTAAAATATCTTTATTGAAAGACCACCGATAGCTTTCTCACCCTTTTTAATACAGTAAAGCCAAGCAAGGGTGAAGTCGTCTTGTATGAATAAAATTTGGTGCTGAAGGAAGTGGGATCTACATCCCCCTCCTCTAACTAAATAGGAGTTTCGTTTTTTTTCTCTGGATTGCCCCCCCCCCCTCCTTCAAAAACAATGGTACGTTACAATAGTATTTAATAAAATTGACATGTAGGCCCTATGTATGTGAAGACATTCTTATTCTACTTTTTTATCTTAATAAAAGGGGTGTTGCTAAAACGCAGAACGGAAAACAGAAATTTTAATTTCAGATTAAATCATTTAAATTACACAAATTTTATCAGAAACGGTAAACTCATGCATATTTAATCCCTCATTAATAAATGCAAGTTTATTATAGCCCTGTTAAGTCTCTTATTCGCGAAAACCGCTGACAAAGCAGTTACGTAGCGATGGGAGGGGGGTCGGGGGGTCGGAGAAGAAACAATCGATTTACTAGTACCTGAAAAGAACTGGACAAGCGAAAAAAAGAAAACAATTGTTCAAATCGGAAGGGGGGGGGGGATTCCATCTCAAACTTCTTTCATTACTTATTTATTTACACTAACTTACTACATTAATTTAACAGAAAGTGTTGGGGGTTTCAATGAACATTTCTACAGTGAAAAACTTATGTCTGGAAAAAGGGGGAGGGGGAGGCTAACATTTGATATATAGATGAATCATGTTAACTGGTAAGAGAAATAAAAATATTTTTTAAAAATATCGTAAGATTACTGCTAGAGTACCCCTTTCCGGCAAGCTCGGATAAACACTTCGAGTGTAAAACTTGTTAACATTTTATACAAAATAGAGTTGCTTTCTATCTATAGTATATAAATCCTGGATATATAGAAAGAGTCAAAATTCTTAACTCTGGCAAAATTTATGTATCATCTGTACAGTCACTGAAGTTAAAGTGTGTTTGGAGGTGGGGATGGGTATGAATGACCCCGTAAACATTTTGAGTTTCCTGTTTTCCTCTCATTATATCTGAAAAATTGCAACTAAAGAAATCAGTTGAACAAGCTAATAAAACCCTTTGCATGAACTTTTTTCTTATGTTCATATGTTACACCTATTCCGACCCCAAAATACCTCCACCCCCTTTTCAAGATTCCTGGATACTCCACTGCATGCATAATCTAAATGTCAAAACGGGTGCATGCTTTTTTGTCTTTACAGATACATGTACATGTATGTATATACTAGTATTTTTTCCTTTCGCCTTTTTCATATTTTTCGTTTATGAATGAGCTTTCTTAAAAGAAAATTTGAACGAAACCTTCAGAATGATACTCTGGATTTGAGTCTAGTTAGTACACATACTATATTTATTGACCATCGCATGTGAGTGATGCATCAGATTCATGAATATATCGTTTCATTTTTTTCATTAGAGGTGCCTTTTATATCATGAATATTGCTTTTTATGTGTGATTTATATCAAATCTAGGTTATTTGCTCGACATTAATTCTCCGTTTTCCGTTCCGCGTTTTAGCAACACCCTAATAAGAGGAGGTATTGACTTATTAAAAAATATTGAAAGGACAAATAATCTATAAAATACATGTTGTATCTGTAAGAAAATACATTTTCCCGAACAATTAATTTCTGCTTTTAGGTTTTGTATTTAATTATCTGTTGTTCTTTATTTGATTATTGGTTATTGTTTGTTAATAATTGTTTGTACTATTCAAACAAGATATACAGGGAATTAACTGTTTTCCCCGCCATATATATACAGACACTAAACAACACGAGATGTTTTATTTAGATCACTAGAGTTCAATCAGTGAGCATGCGCATATTTAACACTAGTGCGACACGGGTTGTCTTAATCGAATACACTCTAAATGTAGCTGATACGATAAGCACGCCTTTCTTAAATCTCGTTTGTAACTTTCTATCCTACTTGATAGCAGGCTATGTCAACAATGTTTGAAAGGTCAACAGGAAGTTTAATTCTTTATAAAGGGCCATTTTTAAAGGATGACTGCGTTCTAGGCCCATCATGAGTAATTCTTTGATTTCTATACAAAGGATAATAATTGACACATAGCCAAATAATGAACAAAACTTTTTTAAAGCAGGGATAGAACAAGGATCTTATCTGTTTGTCAGTTTATGGCAGTTTTTATTTAGAAGCTCGCTTTGTCATACGAGAAGATGCGAGTGTATTGTTGATCGTTCAAGGGTATAAACAGACGACCACCGAAGTTGTTTAGGGTACCTCTATCTAAAAGTCACGCAACAGGTGCAAACATTTCTATTCAAAAGCCGAAGGACCCCACCCCACTTCATCCACCCAGGGCCTTTCGATTTTTAAATAACTTATCTCGTAATTAATTTGTACAATTATAATATGAAATCCATAAATCATTAATTCCAAATTTATCAAAAACTTATATAGATGCATATTATTATTCAATTAAAATAATATTTTCAAAATCTTATAAACAACTTACAAAATCATGTAATAGGATACGGATTATTACATGTCATGCCCTTAATCCCATCTGTTTGAGTTCATTTTTGGGGAGGAAAAAAAGAAACATATGGGCGTGTATAAGTTGATCATTCTAAAAATAGCATTAATATTGTAATAAATTGTTTTTTAAAAAGTTCATATAAACGCTAACATTGCAAGAAATCACTGTTCTCTCCTAATTTCAGGAAATTTGATTTCTCTAAAAAGGAATTTATTTTTATAGTTTCGTGGGGTACAAATGTCAACTTCTAACAATTTCATGACCAAGACTTTAAAAAAGTAAAATATATGTATACTAGTATGGCATGTAAAAAGCTAATCTATATACATTAAAATACAAATCTTACAGTTTAAACAATCGAAAAATAATTTCAGAATCATTTTGTAAGTTCTACGGTCGAGACAATGGCCGTGCCAGCAAATAAAATCTACAGCGACTCGGAATATCAGTGAAATGCTGACCGACGTTTCCCATACTCATTGATAAAAGCCATCATTTACTCACTGAATTGCAAACGGATTTTTTTTACTTTTTTTCCAGATTATGACAAAGAGCACACGATAGGCAGGGGATGCTCACTCCTCCATGGTATCTGATTCCATTTCTGATGTTTTAGAGGTCCATGTTTAATCTGTGCCTAATTTGTATTGTTTGAATTGACCTTTGAGCTTGAAAACTCTTTGTCATTTCCATATTTCATAATAGAAAATGCAGTTGATTGTATTTAATAAAATGAAACAAGTCAGAAAGGACAATAGGACGATTTGTTTTACATACGAACAAACTATGAGAAAAAAAAACACAACGATATTAAGTAAGAGAAGGAAATCATTTTGACAGCAAATTGGACTCATCAAAATAAAACCGTAGATAAGAAGCACATATTATTTAATGAATTTAAAATAATATAAAATTTATTACAATACTATAGTACATGTTTAGAAATATGCACAATGTCAAAAACTTACCATTTTCTATAACGTGAGCATGTAGGCCTATATTGTCTTATTCTTGAGCCATGTAACCTATGAACGATGTCCATGTTTTTATGTAATCTGACTTATCTGACTGTAGCTGTAATATAAGGAATAACCGCTTGAAAACTCTAGCCTATAAGGCATGCGAAACGTTTGTATATATATAATTT